CGCTTTCCATCTGGCTGGCAGTGTGCGTGGCCGTGCATTATGGAGGCCTCAGAGCGTGGCTTCTACACACGGCTGTGGAAACTTCCTGCTCTGCTCCCTTTGCCAGAGAAATGCTGGCCACAGAGCTGAGGACTAAAGGTCAGGCCAGGAGTCAGAGCCACAGCGGCTTTATCACAGCCCGGAAGCGGAGCCTCTGACATTTGCAACAGAAAAGTAAATACGACAAGGAACTCAGAACTACAAAGCAAGCCACTTGAAGACTGTTGTTAAAGATTATAGGGAGCATACATCCAGAATCTCTACACTGGTAACTGTCCATCTTGGAAGGCCACAGATTAAAAAGCAAGGGAGCTCCTTAGTGTAACTCCTTCCGCTCGTTACAAGTGCTTTTGAACTCCCCTGGCCATGCACAAAAGTGGAGCCTCAGAGGAAAGAGGGTGCCAGAGACACCCCACAAAGTATGAACACAAGGGCCTTCTAAGCACGTCATCCCAGAGGTCATGATGCCTCCAGGGAGGCACACGCTCCTCCGTGAACATGGGGTAGACCGCTTAACCTAGCACTCCAGACCAGCACTGTCCAACACAGATAGGCAGAGAGCCACATGTGTCATTTAGAGCTTTCTAGTAGCCACATTTTGAAAAGTAAAAGAGAAAGCAGAGAAATTATTGTAATAATGAATTTATGGAAGTGCAATTTTAGGATATTCATGTGTAGCCAATACATGTTCTTTGCAACCCAGTGCACATTGCACGCTTAGACTACATCTCAAGGTGGACAGGCCATGTGGGCAGCTCCCCGTGTCCGCGCGGCTGGTGGCTGCCCCACTGCCCCCCTCCCCCTCCCCACACCCAACCTGCACCCTACTTCTGCCCTCCTGAACACACCCCAAAACTTCAGCAAGCACATCCGCCTTTTCAGGCTGGCCCTAACTGCACTCCTGTGCCCAGGGCACCGAGGGGCCGGTTTGCAGTACCAAGTGCAGTGTCTCTCCCTGGTCACTGGGCCCTACTCCAGCGCTTCCTTACCCAGGTCTGAATCCATCTTTGCCATGCTCAACAGGAGGAGGTCACTGAACAACTCTTTGGCTCCACTTCCCGTCTCAGAAACAGAGAACAGTGCTTTCCCGGGGTTGGGGGAGAGGAGGTGACATTCCTGGAATCCCACGTCCTAATTCAACGCCAGAAGCAGAAGTGGAAAAGCAGTGATCCACCTGTCCACCACAGGTCCCACCTGGGATAGAAAGCACATCTTTCCTGCCCTGGGTGCCTTATCCTGTGCTTCAATCCACTGAAACGTCCTGTCTGTCCTGGAGGGTCAGAGATCCTCTTCCCTGTCCTCACCTCGCCCTTGGGCCCCTCACGCTCTCCCACCCCTTACTAAATGTGTGACCCTCACCACCCCGACTGTTCATCCACTGTCCGTATTCCCAGGCTGTGGAAACTTCCTGCTCTGCTCCCTTTGCCAGAGAAATGCCGGCCACAGGTCTGAGGAATACAGGTCAGGCAAGGAATCAGAGCCACAGTGGCTCCTGACATTCAAAATGCAATTAGAAGCAAATGAATAAATGGCCAACAGCCCTGATGTAATATGCTGGCCCTTTCATTACAGTATAAATGCCATGCCAATATAAGCAAAAAAGGGATTTCTGAAACTCGAGAGGTTCTGCCCAGCTTCGCGGTGACTACGCCCTTGCCTGAGGGCCCACACCTGCAAGTCCCCAGCTCTCTCCCAGCGCCCCAGCTCTGTGTACCACAGCCCTGCCCATCACAAAGTGGCTCCTGGAGCAGAACCCAGGTCCCCTCCACATAAAGGCACTGATGCTGGACCTAACTGGGAGTGGCCACCGACCCGGGCTGCTGATGTCACTGGAGGAATCATCACCCTGCGGCCTACAGAGAGACAGCGAGGTCATGAAGCAGGCAGGTGAGCACACAGCACTGGTGCAGAAGCCCACAAGCTCCAGAGGCCATCGGGAAACGCGGCTGACACACAGGTGCGCAGAGTTACGCCCATGTTCCCATGGGCTTCGTTCATCCCAGCGGGGCAGAGGCCCGGACCTGACCCGCAGTTTCAGGACAGGGTGTCACTAGGAGGGCATGTGAGTCATCAGATCCACTTTCCTGTCCCAAACAAAAGACAGTGAGAGCAAAGGAAGTTTACTTTTTGAAAAATCAAGGTTGTATAATAAAATGTTCATCTGTTTAAAATGAAAGTGAACCTTGAAGAAAGAAAGATCATCAATTCCTTCTATGAAAACCCTGTGTTCTACTGACTTTAGAAAATGTGACTGGTCCTCAGAAGTTTCTGTTCCACAAACTAGAAACACCGCTTACTTCGAATTTTAAGAAAGGCTTTCTTCCTTCCCCAAGCAGGGTTTTCTACACCGCCGACAGCTCTTATTTTTTTCTTCACGACAGACACTCGGCCTGCCTGGGGAGGGAAGAGCCTGAGGAGGTGTGGCCAGGTGGGCAGGCAGTGTCCAGGCTCCCCCCCACAGGGCCAGAGGGAGCCACCACTCTGTCCGTGCTCCCCGCTGCCCTCCCCGCCTCCTCCCTGGCTCCCACCCAGCTGCCCACTGTCCTGTGGGGTGCAGGACTCGTCAGTTCATCAAAGCCCACAATGAATGGCCAGTAGCAGCCACGGGAAGCGATTTCCTCAAGCCTAACCCTGCTGTGCCACAGACCAAGCCCGTGAAAGCCAGCACCCTTCGGAAGTCAGCCCAGTACCAACACACTTCTGGCCAGCTCATAGGAAGTGAGAAACTTTGAAGGCTGTGGCCTCTCCTCAGTGTCTCCATGACTGGATTTGAGCACCATGGCCCAGGGCAATTAGTGGTCCTTGTAGAAACCACTCTGTAACCCTTCCTGACCCTGTAAAATCACAGGACATGGACTTCGACGCTAGAATCTGAGATGTTCCCATGGACACACGCGGGGCCAGAGACAGAGACAGCTGCATCAGGACCTCCACTTAGCCAGACCTCCCTGAGCTGCCCAGGCCCCGGCCTGCCCTTTGCCTGCAGAGCCACGGCCTAGGGGTGATGGGCATCGCCCCTTTCCCTTCCCACAGCTCTGCAACGGGAACAAGCCACCCAAGAGCTGGTGCTTGGCCAGCACACGCCTACATGGTGTCCGTGGGCCATTAGAGACTCCTTCACCAGGGAGGTCAGACCCAGCACAGGTGAGGACAGAGAGAAGGCCCAGCCCTCGGGCCCTGGCTTGGAGGTGCCGGCCCTCCTCTCCACTGGCGGCCAGACCTGGTCCCTGGCCTTGACTCCAGGAGGGAGGCTGGGAAATGTGCAGGAGAATTCTGGGACCACGACTAACCTACGCCGCAGGAATGGGGTTCCAGCAGTTTGTGGATAATTTAACTGACTAATCTGTTTATCTGAACAAGACATCAGCAGAATATCGCAGGGCTGAAGGGAAATTCTTCAGACTGCCAGACACACAGAAGGCAGACAGAGAGGTGGGAATAATGCTTTGAGGATGAGCAGCCCATGTGCCTGAGCCCCACACAAATGCAGCGGTGTAGGCCCTCAGAGCAGGGGTGCGTGCAGCGGGGGCCATGGGCATTGGGGGACACGTGTAGTGGGGTGTAATGCATGGAGATGCAGGCCATGGGAATGTGAGCAGAGGGGGCATGTGCCCTGAAGGACGACACCCATGCACTAGGCCCTGCTCAGCTGAGGGGTGGAGAGCAGTCAGCATGAGAAGTTTCCTCCCCATGAAATTTACATTCAGCGCTTCACTGACGTCATCACTGCTGCCAGCCACAAGTGGCTTCTGAACCCTTGAACTGAGGCAGGTCTGTAAGTGTAAAATATGCAACAGTTTCAAAAACTTAGTATAACAAATGTAAAAAACTTCATTGATAACTTTATAGTGTATACATTTGAGATAATATTTTGAATAAATACATTTAAATAAAAATACTGACATTATTTTTTCTATTTCTTTTATTCTTTAGTAAGGGTATGTGAACATTTAACATTATGCCTATATTCGCATTCTATACACGTCTCACCCTGTATTTCTGTAGGAGAGTGACACTCTGGGGAGCAATTGGGGAGCAAATGAACGACGAAGGACACATTCACATTTATTAGGCAGTGCTGAGAGCCATAAACAAAGGTGGGGTGAAGGGCTTCTGTCCCCCTGGATGGTGGCTTTGTGAGAGCTGTGTAAAGAGGCCGGGGGTCCAAGGCAGGAGGTGTGACGCGGGCTCCCCAGGGACTGGGGTGCAGAGGAATGAGTGTTAGACCTGAAAGGGTGGGGAGGCGCAGAGGAGGCAGAGGCAGCGGGTCCTGGCCCAGCCCGGCCTGGAGGCCCGGTCAGGACGCTGTCTCCGGGGCCTGAGCCCGGTGTAAATAAACCTCGAGCGCTCGGGTGATGGTGCGGGCAGCCGAGATGGGAGGCCGGCCTGCCCTGGGGAGACACCCAGGCCTCATTCCCACCTTGCTCACTTCCCGATTCCTGCTGGGATTCCTGCTTAGCGAGCTGCAGCAGTGTTTCAAACATGCTCCACGAGGGAGCACCAGCAGCAGAGGCATCGGGCGACACCGCTCCGGCCTCCGTTCCCCTCTATCAAGCCACGGGGTGCAGGAGCAGGTCCCGCCCTAGCCTTGCAGCGCTGTGCGCCATCAGGCCTTCGGTGGCAAGGGGTCCGGTAGACCCCTGCACGCTTGTGAGTCCACTTCTCCCCAGAACGTCCCCCCGTGCTAGTACCGCAGTCTTCCGCAGTACCCGCTGATGGGAACACGAGAGCCAAGAGGGTGCTCACTCCACACACAGCACACGCCCCACAGCCACGCAGGGCCGGGCGCAGCCCCAGGGAGGGCTGGCTGGGAGGCGCAACGGGCGGTCTCCCCGCGGACCTGGCGACGCCCACTGTGGGCGGAGCCAGCCTCTCCACAGGGCACAGACGCCCAGCGCCCAGCGCACTAGCGAGTGAGCGCACCACCACCCCGGTCCGCACGTGGCCACCCAAGTCCTCACCTGAGACGCTCTTCCTCCTTCTTTCGGAGATTGAAGTCTCTCTGCACCACCTGGAGAACATGCTCCGTCTCCTCGTCCGTCAGGCCCGACAGGTCCAGCTTCCTCCCCATGGCTCAGGGCCAAACTCGGGCGATGGGCCAGGACCTGGAAGACCAAGGCAGAGACCACCGTGAGTTCGAAGTAGCAGCCAGGCATGGACGCGGCCAATAGAACTATGCGCGGTGTTTCCCTGGAGCTTCGCTCGCTAAGGCAGACTCTGTGCCCCGCACACCCAGCCCCGCTGCAGGAAAGGGACCGCAACTGACCATCTCCCAGCTTCATTATCCCAGCGCTTCAGTGAAGACCAAAAACCCAAAAGGCCCAGAAAAATGGCCTGTTCTTTCCAACGGAAGGTATCATGCGCCTCACTTCGTGCGGATCCTACAGCACAGTGAAAAGCAACACCCAAGAACTCTTCATTTCTGTGGTTTGAAGTTTTAAATCACAAGTATTATATGTAATTACTAAGCAAAATAAATTATAATACTTCTTTTAAAAACCCAGGTGCGCCATAGCCCTTAAAGTTTAATCACATGACCATGAAGTAGGTATGACACATCAATAGACGAGCTCTTTGGGGAACATACCTAGCAGGACATAGCTGGGCCGTATGGAATTTCTACTTTCAACTCCTTGAGAAATCTCCATTCTGACTTCCTCAATGGTTGCACTAGTTTGCATTTCTACCAACAATGCAGGAGAGTGCCTTTTCCCCCAAAGCCACACCAGCATTTGTTATTGTTTGATTTCCTAATGATTGCCATTCTTTCCAGAGTAAGACAGAATCTTAGTGTTGTTTTCATTTGCATTTCTCTAATGGCCAAAGATGCTGAACATTGTTTTCATATATTTGTTGACCATTTATTTGTATTTCTTCCTCTGTGAAGTGTCTGTTCATTTCTCTAGCCCAGTCTTGACTGGGTCTTTCATTTTGGGTGGTTTAATAGTTTTGAGTTCTTTGTATATTCTGGATATTAGTCCTCTGTCTGAGGAGTAGCTGGCAATAATTTTTCCCATTCTGTAGGTTGTCTTTTTGCTCTACTGACTGAATCTTTTGCTAAGTATCTTTCCCAAAGAGCTTAAACCATCACACTATAGGGACACCTGCATACCAATGTTTATAGCAGCACAATTCATAATAGCTCAGTCCTGGAAGCAGCCTGTGTACTCATCAATAGAGGAATGGATAAACAAAATGTGGTATCTATACAGAATGGAATACTACTCAGCTATAAAGAATGACAAATTTGAGGCACTTGTAGGGAAATGGATACACCTGGAAAACATAATGTCGAGTGAAATGATTCAGATATACAAGCTTGAATACTATACGGTCTCCTTCATTGGAGTGAGGCAAAGTACAAAGAAAGAAAATGATAAAAGATGGATAGAGAGGGACAAGGAGATGGACCTCATCCAATAGGGAAAGGACGCAGGGAACAAGAACAGGGGGTGAGGAGGAGGGGAAGGGAGATGAGAGGAATAAAGTGTGTCTTGTACAGGAGCCCAATAACGCCAGTCACCATACACACTATACCCCATAGCATGTGCTAAGACAATAGTGTCAGCAAGTGTGAAAAAGGTGATTGGGGAACCAGAGGAGGAGGGGAGGGAAGGGGACAGAAAAGCCCAAGCTGTGACATGTACCTGCAACACGCCCAAGATGACTGTACGACGCATGAATTACAAGCACGTGCTAATTAAATAAAAAGTTTAGGGCAAAAAATCAATAGATTCCCTTCTGCAAAAGGAGAACATACAGTACAATGCTTCTACTTAGCATTTTCTCAGCAGTAGCAAAGATGGTATGGCAGAGAAATAATCCCAGTAGCAAACACCTAAGAATTATGGGGAAAATTTTCCTCTTTTGATGCGGAAAACTAGATCCAAGGCCACACATCCGCTAAGCAGGAAACCCTGTCTGGCAATTTTAAACCAGGCACAGTGGTGGACACCTATAATCTCAGGAGGGTCATAAGTTCCAGCCTGCCTGGGTAGCTTAATGACTTAGTGAGACCCTGTTTCAAAATAATTTTTTAAAAATAAATAAATAAAAGGGCTGGAATGTAGCTCAGTACTAAGGCTCTAGATTCAATCCCCAGTGCCAGGGGGAAAGGGGTTTTAAGGAATGGCCATGCCTAGGGGTCAAATCAAATAAGTAATTTCAGGAAATCCCTCAGAAATGAGCCCATCTTAAACACAGATGCCAACAACCTTAGCAAAATATCAGCAAAACCAATTCAGCAAGATATAAAAATGATTACACACCATGAGAAAGCAGGTTTTATCTAAGTAACTCAGTTTTCCCATCATTCAAAAACAAATCTGCATCATTCACACATTAACATAATAAATGGGGGACAAATGCTATGCTCATTTCAACCGATGCAGAAAAGGCATTTGACAAAATTCAATACCGTTTACAACAGGAACTCTCTGCAACTAAGACTACAAGGAAACTTCCTCAGTGCCAAAAGGGCATTCACAAAAGTGCTCACTGACTCAAGGTTGAATGCTTTTCCCAAGATCAGGGCAAAGACCCATACGTCCACTCCCACCCGGTGCTCAGTACTGAGCATCTAAGCTGCGTTAATCAAGATCGAGTGGCCCTGAAGAGAGGAATGGATAGTGTACTGCTGCGCCAGAAGCAGCAGAATTTTACTTTCTCCTGGGTCTTGCAAGTGCCTTGAAGCCACTGCTCCCTCAAGGCCGGCACCCTGGCCTGGGGTGGGAGTGGCAGCCTCCAACTCTCCAGGATGCCTATGGATCCAGCTACTCTTCCATTCCCGCAATAAACAGCAGCACCTCCTAACCCTGTGAATCTCAGAGTTCATGTGGCCACACCTGGTGTTGTGTCCTGAACTCCCCTTTCCTTCCTTTGCTATGTGGCCAGGCTAAGAATCTTCCAAACTGTTCACTGTTTCTTCCTCTTTGATTATATGCCTCATCATTCGTTCATCACCATCTTCACATTTTACCGTAAACAGGCCCACGAAGCCAGGCAGTGCCCCCAGCACTGTGTGCGGCAGTTCCCTCTGCCAAACCCCATGAGACCTGGGCAAGTCTCATCCCTGACAAAGCTTCATGACCCGGAGACAACTCCGCCAAGTTCTTGGCCACTTCAAAACCAGGACAGGAATCTGGTGCTGGACAATTAGGAAGTAATAAACTGGATTCATACCTCATACCCTGCACAAAAATTAATTTCAAGAGAAAAGGCAATCCAAAAACTGGGAATAAACATTTGCAACGCATATAATTGACAAAGGACTTATATTTAGCTTATAAAGTAAGTCGTATAATTAAATCAAGAAAAGGCAGCAACTAAGAGAAAAATGAGCAAAAGATGTTAACAATCATCATATATATGAGACAGAAAAGGCAAATAAGCGTATGGAATGATGCTTAACTTCCTTGGTAATCACAGAACTACAAATTAAAAGCACCTTCCACAGCTGATGCTGTACTTTGGACCTGGAACGTCCCTCAATGGCCTTTGTGATGAAGGCTTGATCCCTAGCTTGAGGTGCTTTTTTGCAGTCAAGGACTCTATAGGGCTTGGTGGTGGGAAGGGAGGTCAACTGGGAGCCTGCCTTCGAAGGGGACAGTGCCTTCCTGTCTCTCTTCTTAAATTCTAGCTGTCAGGAAGTGAGCAGTTTCCTCCACCACAAGCTTCTGCCAAGATGTTCTGCCTCACACAGGCCCCAGGGGAAGGAGGTCAGCACCATGGACTGAGCCCTACGAAACCATGAGCCAAAGCAAAGCTTCTCTCCTAATGAGCTGATCATCTCAGGTATTCCACCACATGATGGAAAGCTAACATGCCTACCAAATGAAAATGTCTACTGAACACTGGCAGGAGGTAGGTAAGCAGCTTCCAAATGGGGTTGTAAATTGTTACAATCTGTTTGTGACTCAATCAGCTTCACTTAAACGTTGCAGACGCATGGACCCTCCTGATGGAGGTATATCCCTCAGATATAATCTTGCAAATATGCACCAAGAGATGGAAATTGGGATGCATTATATAGACTGTTTTTATGTTTAAAATAGCAATTCCACACAGTTCAACCTAACAGAAGAATATTAGTAGAGTCACATTCAAACTAGCACAAGATAAAGTAAATAAAGCCTGGAGACAACCCCACACATTCATGAACAGGAGAAAGATAACTAAAATAATGCATATTTCTTCATGCAATGGAGCACTCTACCACCATAACAAAGAATGCATAAAAGCTTCACTCACAATGGAGATGGGCCCTAACATTGCATCCTGAGACATAGACACACACCGCAGGTGTGGAATGCACTACAGCATGCATACATGTGATTGCTCTTACACACGGTTCACAAGCAAAGAAAGACAAAGACTATGTGTTCTAAGGAAAAATGTGCTAAAACTATAGAGGAAAGTGGGGAGGAGGGAGAGACTTGAAGGGGGAATAACCTCGCAAGAGCTTCCAAGCTGTGAGTGATGGTCCATCCACGGGAGACTTTGGAGACACAGTGCTGGGAGCGACTGCTTTTTCTTATTATTAGAAGATGCAAGTTATGTATATGTATTTTTGTCTGCAGGATATCTTTTGTAAGTATATAAAATAATAGACACTTCAAATTAAACAAAAATAATATAATCTATATAACTCATTATCAAGAAAGGAAACATTTGAAACATTGTTTAAGGAATATGCTGAGAGTTATAATAAAAATAATGATAATAATGACTTAACAGGTCAATTAGTTATTGACCAAATATGCACTGTGTCTTGTTACCACTGCCCCTTACGATGACAAAACACAGGCTCTCGGCCCCTGCTCTGTCTTAGACAGAGGCAGCCTGGGTGTGGCTGTGTCTCAGTCTGACGCAGAGTCTGGGCTTCACCGGCTGACCCACTTTCTGAGAGATGAAGCTGTGCACCTCAGGTCTGAAACTTCAGTTCCCCAGTTCCCTAGCTCTCTTTCAAACATGTAATAACTGGGAAGATATCTAATCTAATTAACCGTTGTTATTTTTAAAAGGTTATTGTCCTTTTTATTCCCAAATAATGGCCGTAAACTTAGAGAACACAACAGTGTCAGTCCTTGAGTATTTTGCTGAATGA